AACAGTATAAAGTTTTACTGGAAGTAGCTCTTTTATTACAACTTGATTAAGTCCTTACTATCTAAAGGAAAACTCAGAAGTAACTGAACTTCATTAACCCAAGGTTTAATAAAACCAAAAAAGAGGAATTACATAGGAAAGAGCTTCATAGTTGACAAGAATTGCTAGGAAAACTGGAAAGCAGTCTGGCAGACATTAGGCTTAAACCACAATTTTGCACCACATACCACAATAAACTAAAAATGAACAGAACCTGAACATTAAAGATAATTGAGAAGAAAAAATTGGAAGATAACCAGATTATGGACCTTTAGTAAAAGCTAGGAGTTGAGTTCTTAACCAAAAAAACAACAGAGAGGTAGAGACAAAAGATAAAATAGATTATTTTGATCACACGAAACTGAAAAGCTTTTACATAAAAAAAAAATCAACACAATGCAACTGAGATAAAAAGGGAAATGTCAGTTGGGCAAAAAATTATTGTATCAAGTATATCTGATAAGGGTCTCTTGAATATGAAGATACATATGTCAAGGTTTCTTTGAAGAACTTTGGAATCCATTGTGTGACATGGGAGACACTGGCAAAGGACCACCCAGCATGGAGTATTCTCATCAAAGAAGGTGCTGTGCTCTATAAGTGAAGCAGAATTGCAGCAGTTCAAAAGAAATATGAGATGCACAAATTTAGAGACATATCCACTCCAAATGGTATAGGGTGTGTTCAGGGAAGACTAGTACCTCTGATGTGTGGGTTAGTGCTTTTAAGGGCTGCTTTCCACCTTTGGTGTCCATCTGATCTACCTAATTCTCATCTGTGGCTCCAAGAAGCTGTAACAGGTGAAGTAGCAACACCCCAGTAAATTGTTTCAGCAGATGGGCTAAATCAGGTTGAGGGTAACTGAAGGGTCTCAAACCCATTGGTGAGTTAGGAGGATGTCTACCCCAAGCATGTGAAGACTTCCCACGGTGAAATGGGCAGATGAAAACAATTTGTTCCGACGGCCATGAAGGCAACTAAACAGGTGCTGTGGAGCACACAGAGTTTGGTTAGACATCAAAGTCATCCACTGCATCTCAAGCCATCACCAGTTGTCTTGACTTTGTCCTGCCACTAGACTGTGATGACTCTGGAAGAAAGAGTGAGGCTGATGACTTCATGTAACTCTGCCTCACTTAAATCCAATTTACGCATGAATCAAGACATCACCCCTGTTATTTTACCATTTTTACCTATCTCGGTGTATGCTTGTCAAAAAGACTCCTTTATAGAGAACTCACACAGGGCAAGTGCTCACATGGTAGTCAGAAAAAGCAATACAAGAACACTCAAGGTCTCTCTTAAGAACTCCTGAACTGATTGTGTGACATGGGAGACACTGGCACAGGACTGCCCAGCATAGTATGCCCTCATCAGAGAAGGTACTGTGCTCTATGAGCAAAGCAAAATTGAAGAAGCTCAAAAGAAATGGAGATGGGTAAATTTAGAGAATCTACCCCAAATGTTCATATGGACTATCTGTGCCCCACCTGCATAGAGCATTCTGAGCTTGTATTGGTCTAATAAGCCAGTTGGACACATTGTAACTTGATTCTCGAAGAGAACGAAGTACAACAACCACAATCAAGTAATGGGGTGTTCAAAATATATGAACAAACCATTCTCAAAAAGCTACAAATTAACCATCATATGGAACCCAAATAAATAATAGTAAGAGAAGAGTACACCACAACTAAAGTTTCATCTCACATCCAATAAAATGGTAAAGATGCCAAAAGATGGGAATACTTAGTTATTTATAGAGGCTGTAGAAAAACAAGTACACCAATGTTCTGTTGGTAAAGAGGTGAACTTGTTCAACCCTTTCACAAAACAATTTGGAACCGTGCTAAGAAACTGACTAAAGTGTCCATATCCTTTGCCAAAAGCCCATTATTTTATTGTGACCCAAGGAAGTAAATTATAAAAATAACTATGAGAGACAGAAAGAGAGAACTTTTTTGCAATAACAAAGACCTGGAAATAAATCAGGTGTCATTCAATTAAAGAAATGGTTAAATGAGTTGGGGCACACAAAAACACAAATAGATCTGTCAACTCAAAGATGCAGACTGCAACCCATCCATGCCTGTCCATCCTAATCAACTCTTGTCCATATTCTCTCAAAAGTTCACCACAGGAAGCACACCCAATGTGCTGTATGCCTTCTGCAATTTGTCAAAATCAATAGTATATCAGAACAGTCTGGTTTTCCATCTGTCATCCATTCCATATTTTACTCCAATTCTTCTCTGGAGATTCTCAGCAGTTGTACTGACTTACACCCACCATGCTCCTTTCCACTGTGCTCTGGAAATTTTTGTTTTTATTTTTTCAGAGTCAGTGGTATTTCACATATCACTGTTATACAGCAACACCAGTAAAATGTTAGTACAAAAAGATGAGCCTTGACTTTCACAGGAAGGTTCGTGTCAATAGAAGAGCTTTACAATGTCCCTAAAGCAATCCAATCCACAAGAGACTGTAATGTGGAATTTTGTTCTACTGAGAAAGGGAAGGAAATAAGCATTTATATAGTACTTACTGTGTGCCAGGCATTGTGCTAAGTACTTTTACAAATATGTCATTTAATCCTCTTAACATCCCTATGTGACATAGGTCCCACTATTATCACCATTTACAGTTGAGGAAACTGAGGCAAACGAAAGTTAAGTGACTTGCCCAGGGTCACACAGCTGGTGTCTGAGGTCTAATTTGAACTTGGGTCTTCTTGACTCCAGGCCCAGCACTCAGGACACTGAGCCACCAGCAATCTCTAACCAAATTAAATGCTTTAAAAAAAAAAATAATCAAACAGTAAGCGCAGTAGTACATGAATGTAATGGAATATTATTGTGCTATAAGAAACTGGGTATAAAGAAGAAAGGGAGGCACAGGAATACCTCTATGAATCAACAAAATTAAGTAAGCGTAACTAAAAAAACAATGACAACAAACTAAATGGAAAAAACAACAAAATAATAAAAATCAAATACATTACATGTATTAGCTTTGAGGCTGGACTACCACTTGCTAGTTATATTATCATGGATATTCCTTTTATGTATGGGTTGGACTAGACAGGCTCTGAGCTCAACTGTCAAATTCTATGATTCTGTATATAGTTATAATGACCAAGTTTAATTCCAAAAAAGGAGATATAACAATGCATCTCCCCTCTCTGATGAGGGATTATGGATGTGGGATACTACATATACTGTCAGATTTGGTTGAAGCATTGATTAGTATTGTTCAACTTTTTTTCTCCTCTTTTATTCTTTGCTATAAAGAATCACTCTGAAGCTAAAGAGAGGGAGAGACTGAGAAATGAAGGTGACAAAAAAAAGAAATCAAAAAAATATTTAAAATAAACAAAAAGTCTAAGTTCATCAGAGCAATTTTTCTAAGTTGCAACATTAGTCTTCTCAGATACCTCTTCTCTGAAAGGGTTCATTCACAATAGTCATAATTTCATATTTAAGTACCTACCTTCATTCTCAAACTCTATCACGGAGATCTAAAAGTAAAAAATCAACACATCCTCATTTATAACAAAGGCTAAACTAATTAAAAGTGACTCTACTCTTCATAATAGTACTACTCTTACATACCAAATGAAAGATTTCAGTAACAGATCAATAAACTAATACCTGTATTCAAATACTACAGGGGCTTTTCTTTTACATTTCAAATAATCAAAAGAATTCTAATAACATTAATTGCCAGTATGTATTGCAAATTGAATTATCAGCACAAGATAAAATGATTGATATTGGAAGATATTTTGCTACCAAATTGTCATGCAATGTTACTTTCTGTTTTAACAGTATTTCATTATCATTCTACAAGTAAGTCCAAATTCTTCAGTAATATAAATATAATTACAAAATTTTATACAACTTAATTTCCAAATGTCATTTCTCATAATATTCAGATCTGCACAAAGTACCCTCAATTACCTATACTATAGGTCCAAAAGTAATTTCTTTAACAATAGACGATATTTTTGTACTTCCAAGCAGGGAAGTCTGAGATGTCTTAATAATTCACCAGACAAAAGAGCTGCCTAGCTTCTTCATGCATACCTTAAATTCTCCTCCCATCTAGTGTCACTTAAGACTGATGAAAAAGACCAATCGGCATATAGTATGCCTAAATTCTTTCTGGATAAGCACTGGTTCAGTTATACTAGGGTAGAGGTGATTATTTTGGCTTAAAAAGTCTCCAGTAGATCCAAGGTAATTCCAAACATGACAAGTTGTATATAGGCGCTGACAAAATACAATCTTTAAAATACCCTTTTTTTTTTTTTAATTCACTGGTGAGCTTCCATGGATATGTGGATTATTTGGGTTTTCAACACCAGTGGGGATTTTTAAATTGGGAAAATTACTACACTCCCAAGGGCAACAACAGCACAAAAATAGGTGTAAGCATCTAGATTTAATAGAATTACTAGTAATGTGAAAGATGCCTAAACTCGAAAATCTTAACATAAAAAAATTTGGGAATCCCTTCAGTAAGTGAAGTTTGGGAGAGTCCCTACCTTGTGTTTAAATTTTCCAGTTTCAGCTGCATTGTGAAAACATTTAAACTGGACAGGCACAGAAAACTGCTTCCAAGCGATCCTTTTTACGTGACACACCCACCAAAATCATCTACTACAAATTGGGAGCTATATTTTAACTAGTTAAGTGTCACTGAGCAGCACAGAGATCTGGGCAGAAGGCTGAAACCATTAAAGCCAAGGACCGAAATCTGAGGCTGAGGTTCGGTGCTTCGGGAAGTGCGGCTGGGCGAAGAAGACGCGGGAGTACAGCAGCAGCACCGCACTGGAGGAACTGGGGGCGCTGCCGCAGAACTAAACAATATACCTGCCCCGGCCCAACTGAAGAAACCATGCTTCCCTCCAGTCTTCTAGAGGGCGGGGTGTCGTACGTAAGAAAATGAAGACAGCCTACCTGTTGGACCAGCCCGGGTGGTCCTTGGGGCCTACGCTTCGCGCCCCTTTCCCATCTACATGTCCGCTAACAGTGAGCCAGGAAGCAGCTGCGGCCTTAAGCTTCCCGCCACCGCCAGTCTCTTCTTCCTCCAGGGACACAGCTAGTTGGTTGAGGGCGTAAAGCAACGAGCAAAATCCACAGCCCAGACAGAGCACTAACACCCTCAGGTAACGCCGCATGTCTTCCTCCAGCCACAGCTTGCCCACGGCGGCCGCAGTGCTTGCTTCTATAGCGGCCGCCAGTAAGCCCAGCGTTGACGAACTGAAAGCCGAACCCCACTGCGCAGTCGCAGACACAAGTTCCTCCTCCCTCTCCTTCCTTCCTCTGCCCTCTTCCCCTTTCCGTGGCCTCACTCCAAACCTGCAGCCAAGAGCAAGGCTGACAGCACCTCCGGCTGCCACAGGAACACCTGGTTCCCCGGAAATGTACGACCCCTGGGTACGAAGGTAGAAGCGAGCGCTCCCTGACGAGCCTGTGTATTAAAAGTGAGCTGCTTGAGAGCATGATCTAGACTTGCCAAGGCTTTCACAGAGCTGATGCAGCTTTAGACCTTGACTCTGGTGGTTTGGCAAATGCATCATAGAAACCATTTCCCACAGCCATTTCTGAACTCTGAGGGAGAAAGTGACCAATGCCAAGAGCTTTGATGGGTAGTGAAGCCTCCCGAATAATTATTCTCTCAATTATTGAAGCTGCCCTATTATAACGGAAGTCTGTGAAGAGTTGCCAAAAGATTATAGAAAAAGCCCTATACCCCTTTTTTAGCATAAAAGCATAAGCAGAATCATTTTCATTATTATGTAAATGTAGCACCCCCTCTCATGGTGGCAAGTTGGGTAATCAAGGACGACTACCTGAGGTTCAAGGTAGTGTGTGGTTTTGCACTCCTAAAACTCTTAAGTGAGGAGTCCCCCCACCTAGTGCATTTACCTTAAATAAACAATTATAAGTTCAAAGCAAAGACATCTACTGAGATACCATCATAAGAGCATTAGATACGGAGCACTCTTCCTTCCCAAAAAATCTGAGACACTGTCCCACAAATATGCACACAGCATCAATGGGAAGAAGAAGCATACATAAACAAAGTGGTATGAGCATTACTTGGATCAAGCTGTGATTTTAATATGGTTTAAGTTTGTGATAGAAGTGGTCATTTGTGTGATTCTTTTGACATTAGACTGGCTCAGAACATCTGACCTTGACTATATGAAACAAGATTAAGCTATTCTCTTTGCTGTTAGTCCTCTGTCAAGTTAGTGCTGGATTTTGTACCATACATATTTCATTGCTCCCTTTTGTTGTTTTTAAGCCTGTGCTTTTTAAGAATGGATATTACTTACAGTAATTGCAGCTAACATTTATAGAGCACACTGTGTGCCAGGCACTATGCTAAGTGCTTTACAATTATTATCTCATTTGATCTTAACCCTGAAAGGTAAGTGCAATATTATTATCCCCATTTTACAAATAGGGAAACTGAGGCAAACATGATGACTTGCCCAGGGTGACACAACTAGGGTTCAATATGAATTCAGGTCTCCCTGACTCAAGGTCAGGCATTCTATCCATGGTGGCACCTACCTGCCTTCAAAAAAACATGGTGAAAATTCTCATTTTTATTTTTTTTAGGGGGGAGGGGCTAGGCAATGAGGTTAATGACTTGCCCAGGGTCACACAGCTAATAAGTGTTATGTGTCTGAGGCCACATTTGAACTCAGGTCCTGCTGAATCCAGGGCTGTGCTCTATCTACTGTGCCACCTATCTGCCCCTGAAAATTCTCATTTTTAAAGAGCATGCTTTAAATGATCATTAAAGATATTGTAGCTATTGGTGGTCAGTCAAACAACAAACCCTAGAGTAGTTGCCTCCCTCCTTTCTTCCTCTCTAAACAGTCCTGTTTTTTTGCATTTCCAACACTTAGCACACTATATGGATCATGAGTGAGCACTTAATAAATGCTTGTTTGGGAATAACAAAAGGTCCAGAATATCAAGGGAACTAACGAAAAGAAATACAGGGGAAGGTGGCCTAGCTATACCACATCTTAAATTGTATTATAAATCAGCAATCATCAAAACTACTTGGTACTGGCTAAGAAATAGAGTGGTGGATCAGTGGAATAAGAAAGGTACGCAAGACACAATAGTCAATGACCATAGTAATCTACTATTTGGTAAACCCAAAGACCCCCGCTTCTGGGATAAGACCTCACTATTTGACAAAAACTGCTGGAAAAACTGGAAAAGAGTATGGCAGAAACTAGGCACAGACCAAAATCTCATACCATATACGAAAATAAAGTCAAAATGGGTTCATGATTTAGATATAAAGGCTGATACTATAAGCAAACTGGGAGAGCAAGGAATAGTTTACTTATCAGATTTATACAGTACAGAAGAATTCATGACCAAACAGGAGATAGAGAACATTACGAAAAGCAAAATGGATAATTTTGATTACAACAAATTGAAAAGTTTTTGCACAAACAAAGCCAATGCAACCAAGATTAGAAGGAAAGTAGAAAACTGGGAAAGAATTTTTACAACCAGTGTCTCTGAAAAGGGCCCCATTTCTAAAATATATAGAGAATTAAGTCAAATTTTTAAGAATACAAGTCATTCCTCAATTGATAAATGGTCAAAGGATATGAACAGGCAGTTGTCAGATGAAGAAATTAAAGCCATCTATAGTCACATGAAAAAATGCTCTAAAATCACTATTGATTAGAGAAATGCAAATCAAAACAACTCTGAGGTACCACAGCACACCTATCACATTGACAAAACAGGAAAATGATAAATGTTGGAGAAGATGTGGGAAAATTGGAACACTAATGCATTGTTGGTGGAGTTGTGAAATGATCCAACCATTTTGGAGAGCAATTTGGAACTATGCCCAAAGGGCTATAAAAATGTGCATACCCTTTGACCCAGCAATAGCACTTCTCAGGCTGTATCCCAAAGAGATCATACAAAAGGGAAAATGAACCACATGTACAAAAATATTTACAGCAGCTCTTTTTATGGTGGTAAAGAATTGGAAATTGAGGGGATGTCCATCAGTTGGGGAATGGCTGAACAATTGTGGTATATGAATATAATGGAATACTATTGTGCTATAAGAAATGATGAGCAAGCAGACTTCAGAAAAACCTGGAAAGACTTGTGTGGACTGATGCTGAATGAAGTGAGCAGAACCAGGAGAACATTATACACAATAACAGCCACGTTGTGAGATAACTAACTTTGATAGACTCAGCCCTTCTCAGCAATGCAATGACCTAAGACATCTCCAAAGGCCTCATGATGGAAAATGCTATCCACATCCAAAGAAAGAACTATGAAGTTTGAATGAAGATCAAAGCATACTATTTGCTATTTTTTTTCTTCTTTTGTATTTTGTTTCCTCTTTCTGGTGGTTCCTCCTATTGGTTCTAATTCTTCCTTACAACATGACTAAGATGAAAATATGTTTAATAGGGATCTATATGCATAGCCTATATCAGATTGCATGCCATCTTTAGGAGGGAGGGAAAGAAAAATTTAAAACTCAAAAGCTTATGGAAGTGATTGTTGATAAATCAAAATAAATTAATTTAAAAAAGTAAAAAAAAAAATGCTTGTTTGACTAACAGATTAACTATATACCAGACCCTGGTGTGGGTGGCTCAAGCTTTTCAAGGATCATTCAAGCCTGTAACAAAACAAGTCATACTAAAAACAAAGAAAAGCATGGTCCAAAATGAAAAACAGCCCTAAAAACCAACAAACTATTGTTAGAAACAGCCTAATATATCCTCAAAAAACAAAGACCCTTAGTAAGCCCTGACAACTAGAGGGTTTTATTAGTTCCCTTACAGTGCCATGTAAGCCTCCTTAAGTTGGCAGAACATCATGAAACCAGGTTTGTTTGTTTTTTAAAGCTGCTAACCACAGATGAAGAAAACATTCTTGTCATGGGCAAAACCATACAAAGATGAGAATACTGAAAAATATAAAAGATGAAGATAAACATGTTTTAATGGACTAGGAACTCATCTAGTTTAAACCTCACTGAAAACCTCTAGGTGACAATCAAGACTAGATTTAGAAAATGTACCACTTGTCAAAGACATTTATTACCCAATGTGATAAAGTGTGGCTTCATGAAAAAGACTTTTAAAATGTATCAAAAGCTTGTGAAGTCATTGCCAAATCATGTAGAACAAATGACTACAGGAAAAGGACTTACTCTACAGTAAAAGTTCTTTTAAAATATAAAAATTATAAGGTACCATTGTTTGTCAGTTAATTTAATTATTTTACTTTGCCCTAAATCACATCCCACTACAGAGTATACTAGCAGAAAGGCATGAATTTAGAGAATATGTGGTAAAGATGACACCTCTAAGATCCTATGGCCTTTCTCTAATGGTATCCTTATGCTCATTCCCCCCAGGTAGAGTGCCTTTGCTAGGTACCTCCTTTGGCTGAGTATACTGAGTGAGTAACTCTTCTGCAAGAAAGCCATGGCTGGTAAGAGGAAATGTAGAAAGGAAATGTAAAGAGAAATCCATTCTCCTTCACCCTGAAGAGGAAAGGCACAATTCTCTTACTTAAAAAAAAAAAAAACTATTTGAACTAGGAAAATTTCCATATACACAATTCTTTTTAACATAAAAAGGACTCATACAAAACCATGATTCTTCACTGCATACTACTTTCTTCTTTCAAAAATTGTATAACAGAGGTGGAACCAAGATGTTGGAGAAAAGGCAGGAAGTTGCCTGAGCTCTCTACAGTTTCCCTCAAACAACTTTAAATCACACTTCAAAATGAATTCTAGAGCAACAGAATCAAAAAAAGGACAGGGTAAAACAATTTTCTAGCCCAAGAAAACTTAGAAGTACTGCAAGAAAAGTCCATCTCACTTAAGTAAAAGGAGAGTGTAATCCAGTGCAGTCAATGTCTGAGCAAACAAGCAGGGAAGGCCCCTAGCCCAAGCACAGATCAGAAGAGAGGCACATAGTCCAACTCAACAGACAAGCAGAAGAGTGGGCCACCTGAGAGTCCTCAAGACCAGATGCAGCAGGCTAATGGTCAGGCCTGGCAGCCAATAGACTAGGCCAGGTGACCCAAGTGTAACAGGTGAACTGCCAGCCCCAGAAGCCCCAGTGAAGAAAGTCAGTGAGGAATGCCCTGGCCCCTGACAAAAGAAGCTTGTGACAGTGCTCCCTCTATCCCAGAGCTATTGAGCTCTGTTGAGCTCTTTGAAAGTCACAAA